TCTTAAAAAAAAATAATTTTATTACAAAAAATTATTAAAAAATAATCATTATTAAATCTAAAAAGTATACTATTATATATTTTTTATTAAAATAATACTAAAAAATAATATCAAATCATAACACTAAACAAAATCATCATAAATATATATATATTAGTATTTTATATAATTTTTAATAAAGATATTTTAGTTTTTTTTTCAAAACGTCGAAAACCGTTATCAAAACGCAAATAGGAAGCTGCGATTAGAAAACACAAGTTTGGTTGCGGGTGCGGATGATTGCGGTTCAACCAATCAGTTTTTCAATCGGCCGCAATTGCTAGAAATCGCAACCGCTCCGTTTGCGGATGGCGGCTGTGTCACATGATCAATTTTTTAGACATAAAAACTTATAGCGTATAGGATGTTTAGTGATCGATCACAACGGGCACACACTCAAGCATGATTGCATTGCATACGGTGGAAGAGATCACCTGCCATCTATGGATAAAGAAGGGTTGAATAAAACGCGGTCGTTTTGAGAGACTAGGCCTAGGTGGCACTTGCCACTTGTTGCATGCGATTCCACGAGAATGGACCACAATTGCTGAACATCGATCATCGTCACATGAACACGACTTGACATCCTTATACAGAACGTGCATGCCCCTGCCTGCACATTATTCAATGCAACCCTCATATACATACACACATACATGCGTAATATCCATTATACGCATGTGCCCAATCAGTGGAAAAGCACATAGTGAGCGTATATATACACTAATAAAAGAAAAAGGTCGCAATTGACGTACAATGGCAGGATCAATGAATGGATATAGCATTCAAAAAGATGTGCGTACGTAAGAGGTAAAGGAACATATACGGTGTCGGTTCGAATTGCCGGAGTTTTGCCGTCATCAACAACTGCCCTCCCCAACAAATAATAATAAAGGACAAGGCGCCTGTATCCAAACATATACCCACACTAATCCATGGCAATCAACATCATTATTAAAAAGTAAATTGGCAACCCAAATTGTTTTTTTCCCTCTACAGGTTTAATTAGAATGACAATTGTAAAATAAAAGCACCAAAATGGGTAAGCCTAGTCCACGAGATATACATGAGCCTGATGGGCTTCTAATCCAAAATAGAGTTGTTTGTGTAACGGTGGGCCCCATTTGATCTTTGTCTGCGCCACACATTGGTACGCATGGACATCAAAGCAACTACACATGGAACGGAGGGAGGGTGTGGCATCGAAACAATGTCACCAACTCCATCAAGTAGTCCGAGTGACCTAATCGATCGTATCTGTGTTCCACGAATACGCTCATTTTGCGCAGATCCACAGATGGATATGTAAACGTATCCATTAAATGTACATGAATTCCGTTGCTAAATTCGAATGGAAGCTAGCGGCCCTCAGGTAGATAGATGGTTAACGGGCAAGGGGCTTGGACTGGACTTTCCCGAAGACGAAGCAGCCCTGGGTTTCGACGCCTCTCTCGTTTGAGCACCTCTTCTCCGTCGCTCATCAAACCCCCTTGGCCTCCATGTTTCATTGTCAATTAATCACATATGCAATACTTTTTTCTTTTTAAATGCCTTTTTTTGGGATGATCAAACAAAGGGCTTACTTGTTTCCTTATTAACGCCTCTTCAAATAAAAGCCCCTCTTGAATATGGCCCACGTACAAGTCAATGGCAAAACTTCTTTCCTTCATTGGGTCAGCGGGGTCATTGAAACCCTTGATTACCGGGAGACTTGAAAAGGTCTAATTCCTCTTTCTGCGAAGAGTTTGGGTAAATGTGGGAACAATATATATTTTTTTTAAAGATGGTAATAATAACAGCGTGAAAGTATTGACATCTTTAAAACCCGAATTCATAACATAAACGGCACGCGCCAAGACGACACCAAACTCTTTCATCATAATGCCCGAAACTCAAGGGGAACGAACAAAAACGTCTCACAACATACTAACACACTGAACTCTTGGCATCACATAAAGAACACGACACCCACGGCTGCCGCCAGAACCCTAGACACTGCCGATGAAACGGCGTCGTTTCTAGCGGAAACTTCAGGAGCAGCAGAGGCGAAGGGCGACGGCGCCGGCGCCGGCGTCGGAGGAAGAGAGGATGAGGTGACGATGACGTGGACCTTCTGACCAGCTTGGCAATGCCCGGGGAATCCGCATAGGAAATAATAGTGGCCGGGCCTCTTCAGAGGCACCGTGTCGGAGCCCGAGGTGTACGTGGCGATCGCCGACGATGCGTTGCATGAGTGGAAGTCACGCCGGCTCACTTGCTTCACATTGTGAAACTGGCTGTTGTACACGAATACTGCCATTCAAATTCCATTTTTTTTATAAAAAAAAATCAGAGTCAGTCCAACTTTAGCTATTGGATACAGGACTAAAAAGGATCCAAATTGGAATTTTTTTTTTAAAAAAAAAAGACGAAGCAAGTTTTCATTTTTTTTAAAGAAATAAACTCCAATATATATATAGTATGGAACATGGAGCATAGAAAAGAGAGACGGACGGAGAGAATCGCCAACATAGAAAGTGTGGGAAGAAGCCCATTTGGAGTAGTCCACGTTGCCGAGAATTGTCCATCCACTTGACCCACCCACCCTCTCTTCCTTTCCTTCAACCACACTCGCCGCCGCCACCATCGCCACCGCCACCGCCACCGCCACCGCCGCCGCTCTTATTCCCTTTATCTCCATTTTCTTTCTCCACCAACAAAATTCTTATAGATAACTTTGCACGGACGAACTGTATTTATACATAAAAGGCTAGAGGCTTCCCGAAGGAGATTCGTGTTTTTCTTCTTGGCCGTCCACGTGTCCCCCTCATGTGTTTCTGGCCGTCCGATGTCCCACATGTACCCTGCTCAAATCTATCTCTAAACGGGCGGAAGATACGGTAACACGCGCATCCAAACATCCCTCTCCGTGACCCAGTAACGTTCCTTATCCACAGCGTTTCGGTTTTCCTTCTCCCCTACCGAACAAACAGCTTTTCTCTCCTAGTCACTTCACTCCTTCCATGGCGGCTTCCTTATCTTCCTCCTCTCAAATGAATTCCATTCTCCAATTCAGAACTAACTGCTCCAAAACTCTCATCTTCCTTCCCGGTACGCCGCTTCTTTTTCCCCGCTAATGCGCGTTTGGTTTCCGCATAATCGGAATTATGTTCCCTTTTGTTCGAATTTCCTAGCCCGATGAGTATGCTTGTCTCTGTAGATTCGTATCGCAGAGGCATCGTATCGGCCAAGTCTCACGCTCACGAATTGATTGCGTGTGCGTGGAGGAGCGGCGTAAGCTACGACAAGCTTCGTCTCGGAGCTTCCGTGGGCCTCTCTCCTGGTCCTGTAGTCAAGCGGTCGCTACAGAAGAGGCAAGTCAGATTTTCCTGTGACTTTTCAATTTTTAGGTTTAGAAAATGCGGTCGAATTTTACTCATCTGCGTTTTCCTGGTTTGAGCTGGTGTTGTTTTAGCCATCTATGTGTGTTTCTGAATGGAATTTCAGAGCAGTGATAAGGTGTGCAACCATTGAAGAAATAGAAGCGGAGAAGTCCACAATTGAGAAGGATGTTGTAGGTCTTCTACTTGTCCCTTCGTTAGCTATTATTGTTATGTAGTCTGTCTCTTGGGCCATGATTCTGGAATTATGCAATGTAGAAATCGAAGATGGAGAAGACAATTGAAACGCTTCGGACAAGTTTCAACTCCATAAGGACAGGAAGAGCTAATCCGGCAATGCTAGACAAGATCGAGGTATAAGATTATGAAGGCCTAAATCTTAGTGTAGTTGTCTTCCCACCTTCTGTATGTCGCAAATTTTCAATTGAATTTTTTGATTCTTGGAACTAGTATTTTTGTTTCTCTATCTTGTTGGACCTTGTGGTCAAGGAGAACAGACATATAACTTGATAGACAATTACTAAGAGTCTCTGTTTTATTCAAAGGTTGAGTACTATGGAAGTCCAGTGAGCCTGAAAAGCATTGCCCAAATCGGTACACCTGATGCAAGTTCCCTCTTGGTGCAGCCCTACGACAAGTCCAGGTATTATGAATGATCCCATTCCATCCGGTGTTACTTCTTTTTTGTTTTTTGGTGTCTTTGTAAGATCGAGATGTCAAATTTTCATTCCTTGCAAGATGATTTTTGTGGAACAATTCGTTTATTTCCTCGGGATGATTGCAAAGCCATTCGACCGTCTCTGTTACTTGCTAAATTCTTTTAGCAGCAGTTATGGTTTTCTCTGTTTGTTTGTTTTTTTGGTTGATCAAAGACTGAAAGAAAATCTTATTTCTGTATCCTGGGAAAACAAGCTTGCTTTGTTTCATTTGTCTTTGTCATACTCTCCAACACTTCCTGCCTTTCAGCTTAAAGGCTATAGAGAAGGCCATCGTGAATTCTGATCTCGGAATGACTCCTAATAATGACGGGGAAGTTATTCGGTTGTCCTTGCCTCCTCTCACAGCTGAGAGAAGAAAGGTATCTCTTCCTGGCATTAAATAAGAACCCGCATACACTCGTAATCACTGTTCTTGGTCCTCAGAATTTATTTCTTGTTTGTATATGTTTGAACACCAAAAAAATCTCGCCTTTTGTTTCGTAATAGTAGCTCAAATAGTAGTCAGAACTCGTAGTGTTTCTTTATGTCAAGAGGACAAGTACTGAAGCTCTTTAACCCATACATGAAAAGGTTGCAGACCTAAAATTATTGCTAGTCCTATTAAATCATTTATGTTGATCTCATACAAGTCCTATTAAACAATTTATCTTGATTTCCCCCGAGAGTTATTACGAGAATTCTGTGTCCTGACCAATGCTTATTAATTCCACCGCAGGAACTATCAAAAGTTGTGGCAAAACAGGCCGAAGAAGGGAAGGTAGTATTTCCTTCTCTTGTGTATTTATCTTGCAATGACTTCATTATGTGCAGCATTTTTCTCTACTTTCCCATTATTTTGGCATTGAGATGCTTCATATTCAATTAACTGAGGTCGTTTCTTTCATTTTTTTTCTGGTTAGGTTGCTGTGAGGAACATAAGAAGAGATGCCCTGAAAGCTTACGAAAAACTTGAGAAGGTTCAGAGTTTTTTTTAGTATTTATAATTCCTGGTATGGTGTTTATCCTGTCCTCCTCACTTTGCATTCTCAGTCTTGGGGGTTTCGTTTCTCCAGGAAAAGAAGCTATCGGAAGACAACGTGAAGGATTTGTCAAGTGATTTGCAGGTGAGTCATCCTCTTAACTAGGACCTCGGCAAACATGCTATGTTCATTGATGTTACACGGTCTAGTCTAGGCTTGAATTGAAGTTATGATTTTTACTAACCAATGCAGAAACTAGTCGATGCATACATGAAGAAGGTCGATGAGCTCTACAAGCAGAAGGAAAAGGTACCCGAAATTCAACATCCCTTTAACCATTTCGCAAACTCTTCATTCCGTACATAGATTGAATGCATACATTGCTGGTAATTGGTGTCGCCAAACTCGAGCTAGAGTTGAGGTATGGGCGTTAAACGTATGCACATTGGTGTGGTTATGCATTGGTCTTATAGATTTGGTGGTCTGCATACAAACCTGCTATTAGGGTTGGAATGTTACCTCTAATTATCAGAATTGTTGTTATACCAGGAAGTGCTGAAGGTGTAACAACAGCTGGGTGTACTCGTATGTAAATGAACCAGTTCCTAAGACGGTAACTCCCTTGTCCTCTGGGGAAACAATTGTCAATGTGATGTTTGTAGAAGTAGTGAAGGGGTGGAGATGAACTTTCCTTTAAGATCTATAATCACATTGTTTGTTTTTCGCTGTATCTGTATGCTGCGGGAGCACTACAACATGATCGATGGAGAGGGCGTGTGTGTGTGTTGTCGGACAAAATAGGTTATATGGTTTTTCTCTCTGGTGTTCCATCGATGATTAACTATTGCAATTTGACGGTACTATTAGTATTACTACAGGTTCTATTGCTTCAGATTATGTTATACAATTTCAAATCTCATCCGATTATTCAAATTTATCTGACATATTTTATAGATGTTTGCGTATTTATTAATAAAAACAGTTTATATTCAAAAGTCAAAAGCAACCTTTCCTTTTTCCTTTTCCCAAATGGGTTTCCACCTTCCAGGAAAGAGAAAATAATGCATTTCGTAGTATTATATTTGTTATTCAGTACATAAAAGAAGCTCTGTCCTGAAAAATCATAATTCGATATATATATATATATATGTACATGTATATAATGTGCATAGTGTTTGTATCGCATGAACTTTTTTTTGATAAGACATACTTATGATGTGTTATGCCATATTTTTTGTGGCTTTTGTGAAATTCATGTAGCAGATAAAATATGCGCCCCTAAATAAAAATGTTAAACTTGTTCCATTGTGCAAATTAGTAAAGATGCAATAATAATGATTATTTAATATTTTGCAAGTAAAGCAATCAATTTATTATATAATGGCAAGTGGATGAGATGATGGATTCCTTACATCGGAAATCCAAATAAACTTTAATTTAAAATTTAATTTGAATTTAAACAGTCTATGATAATACGTTTAATATTATATGGTAGGGTCAAAAGCACTATTAAATAAATTTCTAATTAAATAAGATTATACTCCTTCCTTAAACTGCATTCGAGTCTACGACATTATTAGCGTTATCGTGTAACGTTTTCTTTTTTATTATTTTAAGAAACCCATCATGCTAGAATCCATGTTTATTCTATAAAGGAAGTTTTGTTTAATATATCTTATATGCTATTATTTTATTCCTTTTTTATCAATTGCATTATTTTATTCATACTTGTATGATATAGTTTATTGAGACGCATTCATATAATATAGAATAAGAAAGCCCCCCGAATCAAATTATAAACAATTTAATCTACCTAGTTCATGTACGAGATCATAATGCGATTTGCATTGAAATTTAGAAAATAAACAATTCAATAGCGTACACATCATAATTTAATTTTTTACAATGAAATTTTGAAAATAAATGAATTCGGTGTATAATTATGATTAGTATGCTTTTGAATATGAATTAAAAGTTTTAAAAGGATGTAAAAAATAAAATAAAATAAATTTCAAATCATGTAACTAGTTTTAAAAATATATCATGATAAGAGTTCAATATTTATTAAAATAAAAGTTTTATTTTATTAAATTTTAAATGTTGAATAGTGAGCGCATAATAAGAACATTATAATAAAAAATAAATAAGATATATATAAAAAAAATCATGTGATGGGAGAGGTAGGAAGGGGTGGCGTGTGGACTGATAACGCCAACTAGATCTGCGGGCACGCGCCAATGCATTGCGCTTGATTCACGTCCATTATCCAAAATACTTTCCTTTTCTTAAAATTACTTCTACATCTACATGTACTCTTTTTTTTTTTTTTAAATTACTTCTACATGTGCTATTTTTTTTCGGATGTGATAGATACGTCCAAAATAACTATATTATAACATTAAGTACTATAGACACATCTCATATAGCAGATTCATCATTTGATAAAATTATAATAAATTGAACGTTATAACCAATATTAGGGGTGTAAAATGGGCGGGTCGGGCCGGGTTCGAGCCGGGTTCAATTCGGACCTAAAATTTTTCGGGCCGGACCGGCCCGCCCATTTATTTTTCGGGTCTAGGATCGATGGCCCGGAGTCCGGCCCTACAGGGCTTCTGGCGGGTTCGGGCCGGGCTTCGGGCCGGGCTTCGGGCTTTTTTATTAAATAAAAATATTTTTTGCGATAATAATAATAATAATAATAATAATAATAATAGTAATAATAATAATAACAATAATAATATGAAATCTTCAACAAAAATATTTTTAAAACCGATAACAACAAAGTCATTTAGTTCACAAATAAAAATAAAATTGAAAAAATTATCC